GGGGCTCAGGTATATTTGATGTATAACACCCGGCGGCGCCAACAAGTGATCATTTGCCAAAACATGCACCACCTCTTAAAGGTCCAGGGTTAAGATTCAGGTGAAAGGATCTATCGGTAGAAATGTTATATAAAATAATCCCAGTGATATTCGAAATCCTTTATATTTACTTCGAGGGGCTCCTCTCTACTGAGGGCGCCATGTTTTTTACAGTAGCCCAGACAGGACAAACCAAACACCTTTTGACTTTTTATGACAACTGAAGCCACCTATTTCATGTTTCAAGAGGAGGGTCAGGTGAGGGGGATTCAGTTGCAACATGCAACGTCACCACTAGATTTCACTAAATTCCACACACTGAAGCTTTAAAGCCTTATTGTCCTGTTTATATTGCTTTATCAAACTGTAATGTCAAATCATTGTGACCTATTTTCTGAATTTTATCCACATTAACCTACTTGTAGTTGATTGAGAGTGACTGGAAAAGTAACAGACTTTAGGCCTTCAAGAGGCAACTTGCAGAAAATAATCACTTCCCCCTCATTTATTCCCTCATCCGAAGAGAGGATTTAGTTTGAGAATATGTTGGCTATGATACTGTTCAGTCACCATGACCTACATAGGCCGTCTGTAGTGACCTGAGAGAAATAAATTATTGAAGAGAAAATGACATTGGATTAGTGGTGTCTTTAAAGGTGCAGGCCACTAGAGTTCAGTGTAAAGTCAGCAGCTGCAAGAAAGTGGGTTAACTGCCTTCAACCTGAAGGTTTCACTGAAAGAAAATGTGAAAGAGAAGGTAACTCTGTTCAAATTTGTCAAATTGCAAACAGCTTTAATATGTTCAGTGTCTCTTTATTTTGTTCACTCCACTGGCTGAACTGAGTGCTTAAATTCAATATTCAGTGCACATGGTTAAAGTTTGTAATATTCATCCAGACACAGTGAGGGAGTGATTGTCAGTAAGGACAAGATGAGCAGGACATCCTTGATCTTCAGATCATCTGTGAGCCAGTTGGCTGCTTCCTCACACATTCTGTCTAAATTGACCTCTCAACCCATTAAGCCTTTGTGTTTGTTGATTGTTTTTCTGAGTAATTTGACAGTGAATCTTCAATCACACAGCTGAAATTGAAGAATTGAATAAACAATGAAAGTGTGTTTGGAGCAAAAACCAAAAGTAATCAACGTTATAATGTAAACTATAAACAGAATGAAATGCTTCTTTATAGGAAATACAATTCACTAAAGACAACATAAATAAATACTGATGAGTTTAATTGATTCTACAAGGGGAACACATTTCAACGTGTTAAAATTACACGTTTACAATATTTTTCGTTATAAATCAACATTTTAGATTCATGTAATCGTATTTGTACTCAGTTATAAACCGTTGCTATTCACAGCTGATATGTTTATGTAATTCAGTGTATTTGCCAGGAGAGGGGGCTCATTAGCTGCATGAAGAACCTACCCCTTGTGATTTAATTTTCTACAAACCACTGTAATTTATCTATGGGACAAAAGTTTGTCATAGACATTTATTTAAACACATTTTTAGTACATGAACTCAAGAGTTACAGACATGTATGAGATATGAGTGGTTTTGGAAAAGTGCAGTAGATAAACCAAACTAGAAACTGAATAGTCTGAGTTCAACAAAAGAAAATAAGATTTCTTCCCTTGCACATGATCAGTTAGCAACAGCAGTTATGTCCACATGCTGTACTTTTTTTTTAGATTTGGTTTGACCCCTTCCGA